AAAATAATGATTGAAAAACCGAATAAAAATGTTTCTTCTCTTGTATAACACAAAGAGCGACGCTTTGAAGTTCTCTCACTCTCTCCCCTCTCTCTCTCTCTCTCTATCTCTAACTTTTTCTTTCTCTTTTTTATTTTTCCACTTATTTTTCTTTTGCTCTCTTTCAATCATTCAGCCAATCGATTAAAATTTATATAGCGCTGTTCCTTTCCATGTGACGTTTTATCGAATTCGCGGCGAATTATACGATTAAATAGACAAAAATGTACACACACGCACACGCACACATACACACATACCAGTAAATTATTGAAATGTGTGGCAAGTTTGAGTAATGGTAAAATTAAAGATATCTTTTATCATAAGACAAGTGCGGGCAAACGTTTTGCTTTGAGGGCCGCATTAAGAACTATTTGACTTTTGGAGGGCCGCTTATGTACTTAAATAGCAAATTTTCAAATTTTTTCAACCCGGAGAGAATTTTTTAAGATTTGTGGCTCTTTTTTTGGTCATAATGTCTGGCTGATGACCTTCTTTTTTTGGCGAATCAAGTCACAACGTCATAGTAGCAGTAGGTACACTATCTAAGGAACATTATTGAAATCATCATCATCGTCATCACCATCATCATCATTGTTATCATCATCATCATTATTAACATCAATAATGTCTGTTTAATATTAAAAAGTTAGAGCAATCAATTGAAGACTTGGAATGGACTATTTTTATCAACCAATAAGGAAAGAGAATTAAAAAAAGAATCGCAGACCTGAGCAATTAAAGTTTTTTGTTAGATAATAATGATAATAATAATAATTCAGTTTAAATAATAAATAAATCATTCATTTATTTTCAATGAATGAATGAATGAATGAATAAATGAATGAATGAATGAATAAATGAATGAATGAATGAATGAATGAATGAATGAATGAATGAATGAATGAATGAATGAATGAATGAATGAATGAATGAATGAATGAATGAATGAATTTAAAGCACATAAAAAACAAGAAAGAAAGAAGGAACAAACAAAAATGAATGAGCGCACTGATATGACAAGAATGCCACTTGGCGAGATAAGTGTTAAAAAATGTGAGTGGAACGAGAGAGAGAATGAGAAAGAGAAAGAGAGAGATAGAAAGAGACAGACTGATTAAGAGGAGACAGTTGTAAAAATTAGGCAACACGCAGAAAAAACTAAAAAAATAGAGAGAGAAATATAATATAAAAAGGAAAAAGAGAGAAAAAAGAATAAATAGAAAGAGAGAAAGTAAGAGAAAGTAAGAGAAACTTAGAAAGTGAAAGAGAGAAAGAGAGAGAGAGAGAAGAGAGAGAGAAAGAGAGATGGAGAAAGAGAGATGTTTAAAAATACTAACGGGAATTAATGATAAGCAGACGAGTGATTTCAAATCCAGATTGTTTACGCAATAAATAATTGTCGATATCACCAATTAGAAATGAGGGTGGATAAAGAAAGAAAGAAAGAAAGGGAGAGAGAAGGAAAGACAGACAGAGAAAGTAAGTTAGACAGAGAAGGAGAGAGAGAGAATGTGTGAAAAAAGGAGAAAGTGAGAGAGAGAGAGAGAGAGAGAAAGAGAGAGAGAGCAGGGAAAAAAGAAAAATGAAAAACAATTAAAAGATATATAAGAGACAAAAATTGAAATAGATTGAAAGAGAGAGAGAGAGAGAGAGAAAGAGAGACGAACTCAAACAACTTAAATATTTGTTAACTATGGTTATTATCATTAAAAAATATACATTTATTTATTTAAATAATATTCTTCGTATCGTTATATTTTAATATTGACTCTACTTGCAATGAAGAACTGACAATGGATGTGATGTTGTCAATGTGTATACAATCCAACGCTAAATATTATACCGTGTTCAGATTAGGAGATTCTCTCTCTCTCTCTCACTGTTTCTCTCTCTTTCTCTCTTACTATTTCTCTGTCTGTACATTTATATACATGTGTGGCAGATTGTTTAAATATTTTTTGTTTACAAAATGAATGCATGCAAACATAGCCAATTCAACATATAAAAATATGAGTGGATGGAACGAGATAGAGAGAGAGAGAGAAAAAAAAAGAGAGAGAGGGGGGGTATATGCAGTATGCAATAATACTTAGTATTTGGGTGTATTTGAATTCGGTATTATGATATCACCAAATCACAATTTAAGAAAAGTGGATAAGAAATGAGATGAGGAAGAGAGAAAAAGAAATAAAAAAAGAAACTGAGAGAGAAAGAGTGACACAGAGAGAGAGAGAGAGAGAGAGAGAGAGAGAGAGAGAGGGGGGAAGAGAGAGAGGAAGAGAGAGAGAAAGAGAGAGGAAAAGAGTGGTAAAAAATAACGATTTATGTAATTGGAATGGAGTAAAATACTCCATCTATGTATAATATATATGTGTGTGTGTGTGTGCGTGTAAGAGCTAGAGAGAAAGAAACTGTGTGCGTGTGCGGGTGTGTGTGTGTGTGTGCGGGTGTGTGTGTGTGCGGGTGTGTGTGTGTGCGGGTGTGTGTGTGTGTGTGCGTGTGCGCGCTTGTGTGGGTGTGTATTGATTTCACTTGTTTGGTTAAAAAGTCTATTTGAAGGCTTACTCATACATAAACAACATCAAATTTTAGATAAATTAATGTTAAATAAACTTTCATCTATTTATTTAATTATCTAATTATTAGTAAACTTAATTTGTCTCTGTGTATTTTATCAGTTGAAGTGGTAGCTCAGACGGTAGAAGTGCCATGTGACGCGTCGTTTTCAGTGTGTGGTTACTGGGTTCGAGTGCATCGGGAATATAACATAAAAGATGTGTTTGTACGGCATGCGAAACGTGTGGACCTCTAAGCTACGTAAAAATGGAGAAATACGAGTGAATTTAAGCAATTTATTTTAATCACGGATATAAATTTAGTCTGATCGTCGGTCGGTGAATTTGCCATTTCGTTTGTTTGTTTGTTTGTTTGGAATTCATTGGTTCTTTCAGTTATTAGTCTTTGAATTCAGACAACCGTAATTCATTCATTGGTTCGTTGATTCGCCATTCATTCATTCATTCATTCATTCATTCATTCATTCATTCATTCATTCATTCATTCATTCATTCATTCATTCATTCATTCATTCATTCATTCATTCATTCATTCATTCATTCATTCATTTGTTTGTTGATTCATCATTCATTCATTTATTCATTCATTCATTTGTGTGTTTGTTAATTCATCATTTATTCAATCAATAGTTCATTCAATTATATGATAGTTTTCGATTTGTTAATTCAACAACCCAAGAACAAAATATTACACGAAAAATTAACGAACAAATGAATGAATGAATGAATGAACGAGTTAATAAATGAATGAACAAACGAACGAACAGATGAATGAATAAATAAATTGACGAATAAAAAATGAAGGTAAGAGCGGATGAACAAGTATTTATAATTTATTTGAATGAACTGAGACGAGGTTATTTGACAGAGAAGTGAATGAATGTAGTAGTTTTAAAAACACCACCAGCATCATCATCATCATTACCACTACCATCATCATTATCATCACCACCACCACTATCATCATCATTATCATCATCACCACCACCACATCTCCGTCATTATCATCATCAATCAAATACTTTTTTGATGAAGATAGCCTTTCACGGGAATATTAATATGTAATTCGAAACTGTTAGCACCAATTCAGTTATTATTATTTATTATTACTATTATTATTTATTACTAATACTACTATTATTATTATTAATTATCATTATTATTGTTATTATTATTATTAATTACACTACAAATTAACACAAAAAGCACCAAGAAGCATTGCTCCTTACTTAATCATTATAAATAATCTATGACAAAAATCTGTTTATATATATATCTACGAAAAACCCAAATTTATGTGAATATATATATATATATATATATATATATATATACATACAAATATACATACATACATATATACATGCATCACACATATATGCATACATACATACGTACGTATGTACATACAAACATACATACATACACACATACATACATACAAAAACCCAAATATTTACTCACATATACACACTCGCACGCAAAAACACGTGTTGTACGCTTATGATGGTATCTATAAATAAATTCTTGCTCTAAAACCCAATGCATACACGAGTTCAAGCACACATGTGTGAATATATATATATATATATATATATATATATATATATATATATTAGTCATATATATATATATATATATGTATATATATATATATGACATATGTCATACCCATATGTACAATATATATAACACATGTCAAGTCAGTCTGTATAAATGAAATTATTATGATTATTATTAACTATTATATTTATTTTCATCATCCCATCTGCGTGCAATGCCATTGAATTAATTAATATTAATAAAAATAAATTTAATATTGAATAAAAATAAATTTATTAAAATTATCATCACTGGTAATAGTATAAAAGTAGTAGTAGTAGTAGTAGTAGTAGTAGTAGTAGTAGTAGTAGTAGTAGTAGTAGTAGTAGCTGCAACAGCAGTAGCAGCGGTTGTAATGGTTGTAGTATTGTCATTAACATTAGTATTGTTAATGTTATTGTCGTTGTTTTATTATTGTTATTACTTTTGTTATTATTGTTGTTATTATTGATATTGTTTAGCTGCGTAGCGAATCGTCGTTGATGAATATGCTGTATGAATGTACGTACGTGTAGCTACATGCGTACATGTAGAGAAGCAATGATGGAAAAATGCTCGCAAAATGATTTTTTTATGAATGAATGAGATTTTCGCCGCAATTTTTGCATTATTTTGAAGTATAATTGATAAGCTTTTATTAGTTGTTATTTTAAATTGCATTTTCCCATGTCTAAAAGATATTATTGATCAATTTTTGTGTTAACTGTTTAATTCACAACGGAAAATAGTTTTTTCGTAGAATTAGTCTTTGGGGAATTCCAAAAGTTTTTTTATGCTAAGATGGCAATGCACTTTTCAAAGGTTAGCCTGGACGCTCGGTGTTGTTAAGGTTAGTTTTTAGATCATTTTTTTACTTTGATCTTATTATTTTTTTTATTATTAATTCATCAAATAGTAATATTTATTTTTTATAATATATTTATTTTAATTATTGACCATTTTTCATGTTATGATGATCATCATTATGCACAAAAAAAAGCTCCTAGCTTTTTTTCTTGCATCTTGCTTTTTTTTCTGCAAGCTTCTTTTTTCGGCTTGTAAATTTTATTATTGGTAGTAGTAGTAGTAGTAGTAATTAAGTTGGTATTTATTTATTTATTTACTTATTTATTTATTGAAGCTTAGCTAACTTATCCTTTATCTGTCATCAGCAAATGGCGGTCCTAACTAATAAACGTCTGCTAGTTATTTTTGGCCTCCTGGTTGTTTACCTGGCATATTGGTGGAATGCAAATTTTCACGTACCCAAAAACTTAGAACAGCGAGAGGAAGTTATCATGATCTATGCTGTTTCAAAGCTTAGCAGAATGATAGTACGTAAACTTTATATTTTTACATTGTAAAAAATTATTTATGTTTATAATTTATAATCTTATTCAATTTCAAAGATATATTTTTAGTTTAAATTATTCATAATAATAATACTATAAATAATATAATTGTTTTGTAGACAAGCTTTGGGGAAAACATAGGCCTTGGCCACAAGGTTGTATTATGGAGAAAAGTTTTTAATTTTCTGCATATGTTGTTTCCTATTACAAAACCGCCTGGAATTTTAGTGAGGAATTTATATTGATATTTTTAAATTAAAAAACATTAATTTATCGCACATATTTTTTTTTTCATATAAAGTTCTCTTTATACTCAATTTTTTAAAATAGAAAAAAAACTAAATAATCCCAAGACTCATACAGAAAATTTTAATGGAGTGGAGGTCATTATTATAGAGCCCTTTCAGAAAGATGATTATGGACCTGGAATGGTTTTTTATCACGGTGGGGGCTGGGTCCTTGGAACAGCAAGTTGGTCTTACTTACTAAATTCACTAAATTGGTCTTTTTTTATTTCTGTACTAATTGAATTGTTCCAAATTGTATTCATTCATTCATTCATTCATTCAATTATTTATAAATTAAAATAAAAAACTAAATAAAAAAATTCACTATTTTTAGGTGATAATTTGGAATTCTTGGCAGTGCTATCCGAAGCTCTGAACATGACTATTATTTCAGTTGAGTTAGTACAATGCAGTACACATACCTTTTTTTTTACTTTTATAATTTGGTCCTCTAGATGAAACTTGAATTTTTTATATTTTCCTGTGATTTATTATTTGTGTAATACTGAAAAAACAGAATTTTATTATTATTTTCAGGTACAGAATGGCCCCAGAACACCCCTTCCCCACCCCACTGGATGACTGCTTCGAGGCCACCAAATACTTTTTTGAAAATTCCGCCAAATATAACGTCGATCCATTCAGGATTGCATTAGCTGGTGGGGGCTCGATTTTAAGAGAAGTAGTAGTAATAGTTGTAGTATAATTTTACGTAGTAGTAATAGCAGCAGTATAGTAGTAGTAGCATTAAAAGTAGTAGTAGCAGTGGCAGCACAAACATTGATACTTATGATAGGAGTGAGTAGTAGTAATATTTTAATTAATTTACCATTTTTTGAAAAATTTTAAATTTTCCAAAAGGATTCAGCGCTGGAGGCAACTTGGCGGCGGCAATGTCAATCAGAATGCGTGACTCCGCTCTTCCCTGGAAGAATAAGGTCCAAGTGTTGTTATCCCCATGTTTGCAAGCCTACAACTTTGACTTTCCATCTTATTATTATAATGAGCTGGATGAGATCTTGCCCAAATTCAGCATGATCGAGTTTTGGCTGTGGTATGCCCTAGGTCATGATGGTCATCATTATGTTGACCAGTTCATGCACTCCAGGTCACTTAGTTAATCTCATTATTTATGTTAATTAATGTTACTTTGTAATGAATGTTTTATTAGAATTCTTTTGACCCTACGTGCCCAAACAACAGTCATTACCATGTCATTGATGAGAAGAAGATGCATGGAAAACTGTTGGACTGGAAGTCGCTGGGCCTGCCACTGAACAAATCGGATGTCGAGGACTTCCAGTCAAAAATAAAACAACCGAACATCCAACTCCCAGTAGACGTCGTTTCGAAACTGAAAGCCACATTCATGAATCCACATTTTGCGCCACTCATGCTGAAAGATTTTTCAGGACTGGCCAAAGCCTTCGTCGGCACAGCCGAACACGACATCCTTAGAGACGAGGCCCTCTTATATGCCAAGTACTTGAAAATGAACGGAAATGCCGTGAAAGCAGTCAATTACAATGGAGCCTTCCATGGCCTAGTTTTCTGGAATGAGCATTACAACTTACCTAAGAGAGTGGCTATTGATGTTATTGAGTTTTTGAAAGTTAACTTATAAATTTTTTGCTTCTCGGTTAAATTGATAAATTTGTTGGCGTCACACTCTAGATGCTTTTTAAAAGTTAGTTTTGAGATTAGTTGGTTGAATTTAATTGTGATATAGTTATTTGCATGGCACACATACAGATAGACATACATGCATACACACACACACAATATATATATATATATATATATATATATATATATATATATATATATATATATTGTGTGTGTGTGTGTGTATGCATGTATGTCTATGTGTGTGTGTGTTTGTTTGTTTATACCTCATATCTTACATAAAACATTAATTTGCCATTAGTAATTAAGTATACTTACTGCTGTTGAGGTCTGCAATGTGTACTGTACTTTACATGCGCCTCATATATTTTCATATTCATTTAGGGGGATTTTATTTTATTGATTTTATTTTATTTTGTATGTATTTATTAATCTAAATTGGGAACAAGTTTAAACTAAGGTCGGTATGTATGTATGTGTGTGTGTGCGTGTGTGTGTGTGTGACGATTCTTATTTACGAGCATGTTTGTTGGCTCTTATGATGCTAGCTCATTGGTATATGGAATGCTTAAAATACTCTAACATAACATTGCAATGATTGCTAATATATTTATGTAAGATCCTACTTGCTGATAATATGAGCACATACAGGCAAGCATACATACAAACAAACAAACAGACACATACATACAAACAAACATATACATGCGTGCATACAAGAATACACACATATACAAATATACATACACGCAAAACATACAAACATATACATATTTTTTAAACATATTTTTTATTGCACAGTAGTTATATATTACACACACAAACACACACATACTGCTATTTATATATGTTTTGTTTTTAAATTTATTGAAAATTTGAAAAAATTGTTATATTTTGATTTTTATACTTTCAATTGACAAAAATGGTGATATTGTTTGGAGAATTTATAGATATATTTATATTTTTGATATTTTTGGTGTACAATAAATAATATCTTGTTTTTCTTATGTGATATATATGATGATATCATTATAGATAATCATGATATTCATTCATCGACATAAGGTTATCTTTTTCATTTATTCATTTATTTATTCTTTCATCCATTCATTCATTCATTTAGTGGCTATTCACAAAGCATGTCACGCTTTTTTGCCATTCTTCAACTCCACACTCTCTCCATCATTCATTCATTCATTCATTTATTCATTCATTCATTCATTTATTCATTCATTCATTCAATCGTTCATTCATTTATTCAATCGTTCATTCATTCATTCATTCATGCTTCAACTGATTTTTAAGAATGCTTTTTTTATGAAAACTATTTCACCGCTTATTTTTGTTATATCTATCACAGCAAAAATATATTGAAAATTTTATTATTATTATTTATATTATCGTTAGTTTTTTGTTATTTCGTTATTATTACTTTTATTTTCGTTTTATTAATTTCAAACTTTTGAAACCATGTTTTACCATTTACGATTTTGGATAGAGTTTACTTAGTTTTTATTTTCTCAAATCTAAAAAGTTATAATTGACAACTAATAACAATAAGAAGAATAAAATTAATAATAATAACAACAATAAGAATAATAATAATAATTCGTTATAAGTTAAAAAACGAACGGTAAATTACTTTAAAATGAACAGAAATACTGATTACTAAAGCAAATCTATGAAAAAAAAAATTGAAAAAAAGATAAGTAACAGAATGCAAGGAAGTTTGTGTGGTATGTATGTGTGTGTGTGTTTGTGTGTATTTGTGTGTGTTTTTTGTGTTTGTGTGTGCGTGTGTGGCACGTATGTAATAAGGCATGACATTGATCAACTTATGCAGTATACATAGTAACATAGGATCATTGAAAAAAATTTGATATATACAAATATAATACTAAGAAATACATTACTTGAAATAATATATATATATATTTATGCGCGCGTGTGTGTATGTATGTATGTGTATATACGTATGTGTGTACGTGTATGTATGTGTGTGTGTACGTGCAAGATACGTACGTAGATGGATCCAAAAATAAGTGATTTATTGTTTTCCAGACAAGAGGTTGATGAGCGCTGAGTGGGTTTACTACTGCGTTTTCGTTTCATTATCATATTTATTGTTTACTATTATTATTTTTATTGTTGTTGTTATTATTATTTGAAAAATAAAAGATCTGTTCCCATTACCATTATTATTATTATTCCTATTTCTCCAGAGCACATGAAGCAAAGACAGCCAAATGAATCACAAACATCTGGGTGATTTTTTTAGAGTAAAAATAACTTTCAAAAAATAAAAATTTTATTCGATTGTTCTTTGTTTTATTTTCATGGAATAAAGAACAAAGCGCTAAATAAACTACTGTGTTTGTTATTATTGTCGTCATTGTCTATTTTAATTAAAGGTTATTTATTATTTATTATTATCAGCCAGACATAATGAACAAAAAAAGAGCCACAAATTTAAAAAAAAATTCTCTCCCGGGTTGAAAAAATTTGAAATTTAAGTACATATGCGGCCCTTTTGTGATAAAATAGTTCTCAATGTGGCCCTCACAACAAAAAGTTTGCCCACCCCTGCTATATATTATACATGATGACGATGAAACTCTGATCACTATTATTATATTATTATTATTGTTATTCCTAATAATTATCATTTAAAATTAATATTATTTATAATTATGAATAAAAATTACCAGTGCAGACGCCGGTAAGATTGACAAGATGAGAAGGAACCCGGCAATGTTGTTAACAAAATGCCAGCCAGCTGTATAACAACCCTTACAAGTATGAAGCATCATATATTGTTCTCATTATTTGTGATTGATCTTTTGTGACGTCACAACGTACGATACGATGACGTCATCGTGTACTACTAACTTTAGAGAATATGTATGTGTTGGGCAGTCCGGATTGTATTCCTGGCGGTCCCAGACGATAATGCGTGCACTTTTGTAAGTTCAAATACGATCCATATTGGTCCATTAGGCAGCAGGACGCTGGCACGTATGGACCTGTTTGTTCTATGTTTTTATTATTGTTATTATTATTATTATATATTGCTATTGTTATTTGTAGCTATTGTCGTTATTAATCATTGTTGTTGTTATTTGTCATTGTTGTTTTTATTCTTGTTTGTTAGATCTTTTTTTCACATTTTAGTTACTGAAATATGTGTCTGACAGTTTTATTTTAAAATCGTAATTAAATAATTAAAATAATTTAACAAAAATAAAATTAATGACATTAAAAAAAATTGATAAAAATATTGAGAATTTTTATTCGCTAGCCAATAAGATTAGTTCTATTCTGAAAGTACCAAGAGGAACCCCTGTAGACACCCCAACCATCATCGAAGGTTCCACAACAGTACCACTGTATGTGCGTGCGTGTGTGTGTAAATATATATACATATGTGCGTGTGTGTGCGTGTGTGTATGAAGAAGCAAACTTCAGACAATATATATATATACATATTTGCGTGTGTGTGCGTGTGTGTGTGTGTATGTGAGTTAGTTAGTTTTGATTAATGAAGAACGTCAGTATGTGTTTATTTGCATGTGCATGCGTGTGTTAATTAATTACAAAAAACACATTAATGTGAAACAAAAATAAAATAACGAAAAACCAACTTTGGCCTGAGCTCTATCCCAATGCATGGTTAATTCCTCATAGGAATGAAGGCCGTATTTGTATTTAAGAACGTTTGACATGTACGTCTCCATGTTAGGCCCGATTGCCTTTGTGATTGATATGTGTGGTTGGTTGATTGATTGATTGATTGATTGATTGATTGATTGATTGATTGATTGATTGATTGATTGATTGATTGATTGATTGATTGATTGATTGATTGATTGATTGATTGATTGATTGATTGATTGATTGATTGATTGATTGATTGATTGATTGATTGATTGATTGATTGATTGATTGATTGATTGATTGATTGATTGATTGATTGATTGATTGATAGATTAACTTACTGACTGATTGAGTATATGACCGATAAATGATTGGATGACGATCTATTGCTGTGTTATTATTGATTCATTTTTTAGCATGCCGTCAAATTCAATCGTTTATTTTTGCCTCTGATATCAATTTATCAAATTAAAATTCTTGTATTCACTAATAAATAAATATTAAATAAAATTAATTTGAGATTTATTTTAAATTAATAATAACAAATTTTATACTAAAGAACACCACGTATCTCGCTCACCCAACTCCTTAAAGTGATGGCCATTGATGCAGATATGGCGAAAAGGATGAACGCCAACGCTGATAAACTGACATACTTTGGAGAGAGAAATTTTTAAAAATTGATATAAAGTAAATTTAACAAAAATCTTCAAGCAGATTGATAAAAATTTAAGAAAAATCGACAAAAATAGATCAAAATTAAAGGTAAAAATCTCAAAAATTGTAAAAACCACGGCAAGGCTAACGAAAAAAAGAATATTTTTTCTTTTAGCCATACTACCAAGGATCCCAAACATGGCGGACGTTGCCAATAGACATCCAGCTGCCACCAGAAGACAGGTGGCGTGGTAGGCAATCCCGGTCCCCAGTACATCCGGAACGAAATCTAAATGCTCGTGAATGAAGTAGGAGCCACATCCTATGATAAGGCATGAAGCTATCTAGTTTTAACAAATTGTTATGTCGAAAATTTCAGTTGGACACACATACACACAATAATCTAATCTATAAAATTGTTTTAAAATAGTTATTATTTATTAGTATTTACACACATACACACAATAATCTAATCTATAAAATTGTTTTAAAATAGTTATTTATTAGTATTTACACACATACACACAATAATCTAATCTATAAAATTGTTTTAAAATAGTTATTTATTAGTATTTTAATTGATACAAAGTAATATATTTGTAATTTGATCCATTAGATTATAAAATAAAGGTCAAACGAGTCTTCATTAATGTTTTGCGTGTTTAACGAACGGTTCGCTACTGCCTTGAAATATTAACTTATATTATACTTATGCATTATACTTATTAATTACTTCGTTAGTATAATATTTTAATACATATGTATTATAAGTATCTTGTATTAATAATAATCTTACCAGGATAACTAAGTTTGAAAGTAATAAAATATTCAATAAACGATTTGAGTTTAGAATTCCTCCATTCTTATAATAAATACTTTCATTAAACATTTTAATATAGATTTTAATGCAAATTTCAATCCTGAATTTAGTTTTCAAGCTTCTTATAAATAAGCACTTATGATTTTACAAAAGCTTATTAATTTATTCTATAAATTAATACAGGTGATTTAAATTGAATACGTATACAAATTTGCGTGAAAAATAACCTTAAATTGATTAAAAAATTTATTTTAATATCAACCGGCTTGTAAACATGTCATCGAGTAAGTATTTATTTAAAAAAACATTAAGTTTTTCCCGAAATGAAACGCTTGACAATTAGTTACCAGTTTACTTTTAATCAATTTTATATGTTGATGAGTTGATCGTTTTTTAGTTTTATTTATTTTTAAAGCAATTAATTAGTTGAAAATATTTTTTCAAATGTTTGCCTATGTCATAGTTTGATACTTGGAAATATGACGATTAGTGTATACAAAATTTTATCACAAACAGGATTCTTGCTATTTTGGTTTTACAACAGATTAAGTAACTAACACTTCTTAGAAGTAAGATAATAAAATTTTATTAAAATAATACATAGCAACACTAACAACAAGCAACACTAATTTAATTAAATTCTTTTCGAATTGATTGACATTTGACAATAATGATAATAATTAGGTTGTTATGCCAACACTTAAAAAAAATAAGTTAAAAACTGAACTACTAGCAATTACTACATTGTTATCATTACAACACAATTTAAAATCAGGTGATCCCGGATCCAATTATTAAAAAAAGATTTTTTAAAAAAGGCAATTTGCAATTTTCACTAATTGTTGACCAATTAACTAATTTGACTAATTCACTTTTAAACAACGCTAACCATCAGCCATAAACTTCATCTGCATAGTCCCCAAAGGTCAAAGAAGAATGTGATGGCAAAGAAGTCTGTTCAGGTTTTTTCCATTTAGTATAATATAATAAAATATAATTGTAATTGATATTTTTTATAATTGAATAACATTTTAAAAAATATTAGTATTGTGTTTTATACAATTTATTGTTAGTAGTATTATAGTAGGGGTTAGTAAACTTTTGGCTGTGAGGGCCGAATTTAGAACTATTTTATCTTTGAAGGGTCACATATGTATTTAAATAGCAAATTTTTTCGACCTACAGGAGAATTTTTTTTGACCCGCAGGAGAATTTTTTTTAAGTAAGATTAGTGGTTGCTTTTTTTGCCATAATGTTTGGCTGATAACCTTTATTTGGAGAACAAGGCCTCGACAGCCATAGTTTGCCTACCTTTGATTTATAGATTACTAAGCCAACAGATAGTATATATGTATATTTATTTATTTATTATTTGATTAATATAATTTATTAATCTTTAATCATCTTTTTATTTTTCAGTTTTTTTAATAGATAGACAAAATTACAAGTAACCTCAAATACAACATCTACGACATTGACATCGACATTTATATCATCTTCAAACTCTAAGAAATAAACAAATAAATTAATTAGTTAATTAATCAATCAATAAATAAAGTTAATCAATAAACCAATCAATTAGTTAATTAACAAATTAATCAAAAGATAATTTTATGGTGCATTTCAAATTTCATGCATACAAATAATAAAGGAATGCCTGGTAAAGGTTGGTTTAATTTGAACTATCATAATTACTTTTGTTATTATTATAATTATATTATTACTTTTATTATTGTAATTATTACTTCATTGCTAATTTTTGTGTGACTAGTTTGATTAATGAGTTTTAGTCAGTTGGATGATTGATTGGTTGGTTAGTTGATTGATCAATCATTAATATTTTTTAATTTAAAATTTTCAAAAGTTAAAATTTTTTTACAAATCAATGAAATTTAATATTTCGATATACGTTGTACTAGAAGAAAAAAAAATAACAATGATGTATTGTTAAGTCATTTTGTTTATCTGAGTCATAGGTAGAAAGTTAGTTACTACAATCATAACAATAGTTTTATCTAGATGGGTGTGTGCGTGCGTGTATGTATGTATGTGTGTGCATGCGTGTGTGTTAATGTATGTGTGTTTGTGTATTTTGTCATTTCATTTATTTAATTAATCGCGTAATTATTTAGAATGTTTAGAATGAGATGTATGTCTGTATGTTTGCTAGTGTCTGATTTATAGGTTGATTTTTTATTGATGGATAGATTGTTTGTCGATTGATAAATAACTTATAGTAAAATAAATCAAAAAATATTTTTTAAATAAAAAAAAAACTTGAAAAAAAATTACAGAGAATGAATTTATAAAATTTGGCAAATCCCTGACGAGTAAGATGCTTTCGTCGTCTGCTCTCAACAACAGCAACGCTAACAACAACACATCCCTGTTATCTGGTGGAGGCCAGCAGCAACAACAACAACATCTGCCAAACAGCTCGCCATCTTCACCGTCGAATAATGCCTCTTCTCTCCAATGCATGAGTAAAAGTTAACTTGAGATGATATCATTGCTTAGTTTCCTTCATAGTTTTTTGCTCTCTTTTTTGCTGTTCTCATAGTTGCGATTTTCTTTTATTATTAGAATTTTATTTCTTCATTCATGCATGCATGCATGCATGTATTCATTCCTTCATTCATTCATTCGTTCATGCATTCATTTATTCATTCGTTCCAAGGTGGTGCTGACGATGATACATCGCTTCACTCTAGTCATACTGACGCAAAATCATCCAAAGTTGGTCGATTGATTGATTAGTTGATTGATTGATTAGTTGATTGATTGATTAATTGACTAATTGATTGACTAATTGGCTGGTTAATTGATTTTAAGATGGTCAGTCAGTCGTTTGGCCGATTGTTGTAGTTGGTTGTCTGTCTATCAGGCTTCTGGCTCGTTTGTTAGCTGATTGATTGATTAAATAACTGGTTGGTTGTTTCGTTAATTGGTTGGTCGATTTTTTGATGGGTTGGTTTAATTAATTGAAATATTTTTTCTTGTTTAATTCATTTTATTTGTCAATCAAGTTAACTTCTTTTCAATTTGCAGCCTTTGGAATTTGGCAAGTTGTCCAGTTTTGGCTCTAAAGATCTGGCCAAAAATGTTAAGAAAGAATCATTAAAAGTATGTCTTGTAATTGATTATTATTTCAAGTATAGATTTTCATTCATTCATTCACACATTCATTCATTCATTCATTCACTCATTCACTCATTCATTCATTCATTCATTCATTTATTCATTCAATCAATCCTGTTTAAAATATACGTTGAATTGAACATTTTAATTAATTCATTCTGTTACGCTAATCTTTCAACTTTATAATCCATTAAAATACTTTAAATATTTTCGTTTTCGAATATATAAATATTATAAAATATAAAAATATTTTCGAAATCCTTTTCACCGTCACCCATCCTACTTTATCAAAGGCTGCTGCAAACACGTGCACACACACGCACACACACACTCATACGTTCATACACAAGCATAATAAATAATAATGATATGCACCCATAAATAAAAATAATATGCGGCTAAACACACGCACACACACTCATACATACATATATGCTGTACACAATATCCTTATAAAACAACAGACAGACATCAAGTTAGTACATACACACTTGAACCACATAATTTTTGATGGTGGTCTTTGATATCTGGACAGACTGCCTTAGAACCCGGTCATCGTGGAATAGCAGCGCTAACGCTGGACATTTTTCAAGCACTTTGCCCTCTGAGCTAGCTTTGCAACCATTTTATCACTGTTAACGTCATACTAATACAACATTACTGAAGCGTTAATTGTAAAATGTACTTAAATAAAATGAAAACATTTTTTACAGGTTCAAAAAAATAACTACAGGATGGAGAAGAAGAGGGCGACCAATGAACTTTTGAGCACCCTGCAAGACCCTACCATCGTGGTCCTCTCTGATTGGCTGAAAGTTCGGGGCAGTCTCAAGAGTTGGACCAAGTTGTGGTGCGTGCTGAAGCCCGGTCTACTTGTGCTTTATAAGAGTCATAAAGTCAAGGTCGGTTGGTCTGTTGGTCAGTCAGATGGTCAATCGGTCGTTGGATTGATTGGATTGGCTAAAATTGATTCACTGACATTTTGGACACTGACATAATTAATTAATTAATTAATTAAATTAAATTAAATTAATTAAATCTATCAAACAATCAGCCAACAAACCGATCAGCGAACCAATCAATCAAATAATCACACAGTTAAACAATCACTCAGACTGTCAATCAACTAATCAGTTTTTCAAAAATTTATTAAAAGACACCCGACCAACCAACCAACCAGTCAATCAACTAACCAATCAACCAACTAACCGACCAACTAACCAACCGACCGACCAATCAATCAACCAACCAATCAGTCGAGCCACTGGGTGGCCACTTGTTTGTTGAGCGCCTGTGAAGTCATTGAGAGGCCGTCGAAAAAAGATGGCTTCTGTTTCAAAGTTTTCCATCCACTTGACCAATCAATCTGGGCCACGAAAGTAGGTCATATTTATGACGTCACCGTCGTTATTATCATCATTATCACTGTCATCATTCTCATTGACATCATCTTCATTATCTGGTGCATATTTGATAATCATAAATTCATCATCGTCGTTGTCGTCATCATAATCATCACTGTTAATCATCAATAACCATCATTATCACAATAACCATCATTATCATAATAACCATCATTATCATCATCATCACCACAATCATCATCATCATCACTAGGGCCCTAGAGGAGAGAGTATAGGTGCATTAACGCTACCACTTCCAACATCATATCTCATATTTAGAGCACCTTCTGAGGCAGCTGGTATATATATATGTGTGTGTGTGTGTGTGTGTGTGTGTGTGTGTGTGTGTGTGTGTGTGTGTGTGTGTGTGTGTGTGTAACTGTGTGACTGAGCGTGTATGTGTTAGAGAGAGAGAGAGAGAGAGAGAGAGAGAGAGAGAGAGAGAGAGAGAGAGAGAGAGAGAGAGAGAGAGAGAGATGCATGATTGAATTTTTTTGTGTGGTATTCATTAACTTACCCCGCTTATCCCCTCTGCCTAAAATTAGGGAAATGTTGGATAGACGCTTTGGAGCTTGCTCTGCATTGCAGCAGCCTGCTGATGAGGTCCATGACCAAAGATAATAGAGACGTTGTGCATACTTCTAACAATACCAGTGGTTAGTTCATTTATTGGTTGGCTGGCTGGTTGATTGCTTGGTTGGTTAACCGGCTGGTTAACTGGTTGGCTGGCTGGTTGATTGGTTGGTTGGTTAAATGGATAGCTGGTTGCTTTTTCGTTTGTTGACGGATAGATTTATAATTATTTTGTGTTCATTCATTCATACATTGCAACTGCAAACAAACACACACAGACACACACATACAAACACACACACACTACACACACAGACACACACATACAAACACACACACACAGGCGTTATTATGTCGGTCAACCCAGCGTATCGGGCCGATTCGTTCAGCTCTACTACAATGCCCGGCTGCAGTGGTGGTATGATGATGTCACTCATGGATGAGAGTGATTTCGAAAAACATTTCAAAATTTGCGGTTGGTTGGTTGACTGATTGGTTGGTTGACTGATTGGTTGGTTGACTGATCGGTTGGTTGGCTGATTGGTTGGTTAACTGATTGGTTGGTTGGCTGATTGGTTGGTTGGTTGGCTGATTGGTTGGTTGGTTAATTGATTATCGTATGATAAGCTGGTTGATTGATTGCTATATGATTTGTTTGATGGTGGCTGAAAAGTAGATTGCATGTGATTAAAGTTACGCTATCACGTTTTGAAATCTATTCATTTAAAGATTCAGATACGTTAATGAGTTAATCAAGCAAGAAATCATTCAATTAATTAATGAATCAACCAATCAAACAACCAAAAAAACAACCAGCCAATCACATTAAATTTCCACACACACGCACACACACACACGCGCGCGCACACAGATCTAGACGAAGACATGAAAACAGACAAGGACGACGACAAAACGGACAGCGATGACGACGACGATGACGACGACGACAAGATGAACAAGCGAGGTAATGATAACGATGACTACGAGGAGGGGGGGAGGGACTCGAGGGGGTCCAGGGTCGTCGTGGCTGATGTCCCCCCTGTGGAAAGCCCCTACGTGGAAAATGTGGAGGAGGAGTTAGGACAGGTTAGGCAAATTTGATTGTTCGATCGATCGATTGATTGATTGGTTGTTTGGTTGGCTCGTTAGTTATTGTTATTATTATTGTTATTATTATTGTTATTATTATTATTATTAAGCTTGGGGATGCTTCGCAAACGGAAGAGGTTGCCGACGAGAACAAAAGCATCATCTGGTCTCTGGTCAAGCAGGTTAGATGGGGCTGAGTTTAAGAATTCTCTTGGCGTATTTTTCAATTAATAACAAAAATAATAATAATATTCTTATTCTTATTATTATTATTCTTCTTATTATTATTATTTTTCAAGGTCAGACCTGGTATGGACCTGTCGAGGGTAGCTCTGCCGACCTTCATTCTAGAGCCAAGGTCATTTCTCGATAAGCTGTCTGACTATTACTATCACGCCGATCTTCTTTCCGAGTGAGTAATGATGATGATGGTGGTGGTGGGGTGATGATGATGATGATAATGATGATAATAGAATTATTGAAAGGTTGACTTTATAGACATTAGAAATGGGGCGTTTGAAATTAACAAATGCATTTTCCAACCTAACCAAACATTACAACTTTTTGTATCACTACTACTACTACTACTACTACTACTACTACTACTACTACTACTACTACTACTACTACTACTACTACTACTACGCCAGAGCCGTTAATATCGAAGACCCGTATTCAAGAATGAAGATGGTAGTAAAATGGTACCTGTCTGGGTTCTATAAGAAACCTAAGGTGGTCATTCGACTGTTGTACATCGTGCTACTTTCGTTTTTGTTGCTGTGGTTGGTGGCTGTCGTTATGATGACGGTGGTCACATCATTATGGTGATGATGATGATGGTGATGGTGATGCCGGTGGTAATGATAATGATGACGCTGGTGATGATGATGGTGATGATGATGACGAGGGTAATGACAGTATGATGACGACGAGGACGGCCTAGGTGATGGTCACCCGTTAAAATTATCATCGCCCCAATAGGGCTTGAAAAAACCCTACAACCCCATTTTGGGTGAGACCTTCAGATGCTTCTGGAAGCACCCAAAAACAGGCAGTCGAACGTTCTACATTGCCGAACAGGTGATGTTGTTTTTTTCAGTGATGTCTGTCAGTCATCTTCGTCGTCGTCATCATCATCGTTGTCGTTGTTGTTGTTGTTGTTGTTACCATAGCTATCACTGCCATCAATACCATCATCATCATCATCATCATCATAATCACTACTACCATCATCATCATCATCACAATCACTACTATTATCATTGTAATCGTCATCATCATCATTACTCCTTCCTTAGATTTCTCATCACCCACCGGTTTCGGCTTTCCATATTACGAACCGACAGGACGGATTCACCATTAGTGGGAGCATTTTGGCAAAGTCGAAGTTTTACGGGAATTCCCTGTCCGCCATCTTGGACGGTGTTTGTCGTCTGGTTCTGCTGAATAGAGGGGAGGATTATACAATTACTATGCCATATGCACACTGTAAAGGTTGGCCGTCTGTCTGTCTGTCTGTCTCTGTCTGTGTGTCTGTATCTTTGTGTCTGTCATTTTCTGTCTTTGTGTTTGTTTGTTTGTCTTGCTGTGGTGTGTCTATTTGTTGAGATACAATGTAATGTTTGTGGTTGTAGTTTTGGTTCACTTTTTTTTGGTTTATGTGGTTATATTTATTTATATTTCCTTTTATTCGTTCATTCACTCATTCGTTCATTCGTTCATTCATTCATTCATTCATTCATTCATTCATTCATTCATTCATCTATTCATTCACCTATTCATTCATCCATTCCATCATTCCATCAGGCATTTTGATTGGCACCTTAACGATGGAGTTCGGTGGTGAAGTGTCTATCCAGTGTGAGAAAACCGGATATAAGGCTGATATAGAATTCAAGTTGAAGGTCACTATGATGATGATGATGATGATGATGATGGTGGTGATGATGGTGGTGGTGGTGATGATGATGATGATGATAATATGTGAATGAGGTTTGTATATATACCAATGATATAGTATTTCGATCATTTTTTGTTTGTTCATATCATAAATTGTTGTATTAACCATTCATTGATCATCAATCAATCAGTCAATCATCAATCAATCAATCAATCAATCAATCAATAGCAACCAAACAATGCCAACCAATCAATCATGCACTTCTTCCCCTAACTTCCTAACCAACCAATCAACCAACCATGTGACAGCCATTTTTAGGATTGGTCGGTGGTGAAGCTAGCAACAGGATCGTCGGCAAAATCAAACTCGGGGACGAGACCCTCTCCAGCATCGATGGACATTGGGATAATGAGATTACCATCAAGGATAAGAAAACTGGAGTTGGTTATTTTTGCCTATTTTTTTCGCTTTCTTTCTTCTCTCTTTCTCTCTATCTCGCTTGCTCTCTCCTTCTCTCTTCTATTTGTTATATGTATTTGAAATTTCATTATTTTTGGTTAATTACCCTTTCTCTCCCTTCTATCTCTCCTTTCTCTCTCTTTCTTTTTCTCTTTCTCTCTCCCCCTCTGTCTCTTTCCAGTTGTTGTAACAAGTTTTCAGTACTGTTTCATATCATTTTTGTCGTTTATAATCATAAATGAATAAATGATGATGCTGTAGTAAGAACAAAGTAGATAGGTACATCCCTGCTTCACTAATTACCCCCCACCACTCTTATTCCCTAATAAACTAATTTATTAATTAATCAATTAACTAATTAAAACATACATCCTTCAGACGACAGAATTGTTTTGGAAGCCCACCCAAGAAGTAAGATGCAATAGGTTGAAGAGGTACACTATTCTGCTAGAGGCTCAGTCTGATTTTGAATCTGAGAGGTTTGCTTGACTTTTTTGTTTGTTTTGTAGAATATAATTATTTGTTGGTTCGTTTTAACTAACTTCTGCCTAATCCAACCAGACTGTGGTCCCACGTAAGTGACGCCATCTTGCGCGGCGATCAGCAGACGGCCACTGATGAAAAGTGCATTCTAGAGGAGGAGCAAAGAAAAAGCGCGCGAGAGAGAAAGGCCAAACTGGTGGAGTGGGTGCCTAACTTGTTTGAGAGGAATGTTATAACTGGGGAATGGATTTATAAATATGCTGAGTTAGTTGGTTTGTTTGTTTGTTTATTTGTTCTGTTTCGTTCGAATGTTGGTTACGTTTTGTTAGTATTATATGTTTTGTGCATTTGCATACACTCATGTAGCCATTGATTGGAATTTCACGATCGACACATCCCTGAAAAATAGTTGGCGACCATGGGACCCACTGAATGACGTCATACAGTTTGAAAGAGATTTCATCATCAGTACGAAGACCCACCACCAAACGCCCATCGTACACACGACCAGCATCACGAGCATGGAGGAAAAGCCCACAGTCGGAAATCCCCATCACGGACATTCCAGACATCCGTCTATGGATTGCGCCAATAGAATGAAGAGGATCAAAATGAGGTCGATGTGTCCTAATAATCCGACCGCTGATAGGTCAGTTGTCGTTGTTGGGAGCGCGAATGAGGAAGCGACACGACGCAACAGATCTGTGGAAGATGATGGCGATAGTGAATCGTCTCTATCCGCTGGTCAGTTACATCATAAATATTTTTCTCTACATAAATATCTTGAATAGTATGTTTTTTATAAATATTAATAATAATATTACGTTTTATATAAATATCAATATATAGGTCTCTTAATTACGAAATGTTTGTGGATCAATCAAAATTTATTCCGATTTTTATTGGTGAACAGTTGAAGCCTCAGCCAATGAGAGACAAGTGGGAATTGTCAGCCCGACGTTCGGCGACAGCGTTCATTCGCTTATTCAAGTTCAAAAAGACACTACCGAGAAGTTAGCGAGCGTGCAACTACAGCTGACAGCTATGCAGAGTCAGCTAAGAAGCTTAGCCGTTAACAGTAGCCCAGCTACATATTCAGTTCATGATAATGTAAATAGGCATGCTTCGTTCGGCAGGTTTGATCAGAGGGATTTTATTGTGTTTCTGTTTGCGGTATTCATTCAAGGATTCTTCGTTTGGTTCTTCAAGTAGCTTAAAATTTTTAAACATTCTTCTCTCCCAAACTGTAAATGTTTTTATCTAACTAAATTTTGCCACTTAATGTTTTTTTTTTCTTTTTAAAATCGTTTCGTTCTGACTTTTGTTCAAATTGCCATCGCAATTTTTACTTAAATTTTTCGACACGAAACTTATTCAAGTCATTATTTCACATGTAAGATCAATTAACACGTCTATATTTCAATTCTTTACTAACTTTTCTATCAGTGATTTACTGATTTTCGTTCACACACACCCACACACACACACATATATATATATATATATATATATATATTTGCACCACAGTATCAACAAAATTGTTTTAAAATCAAAATGTTTTTTTTTGCATCGCAAGCATTATCATGATTAACCAAAAGTAGTAAAAAATAGCGCAATTATTATAATAATTACTTATTAATTACTTATTATAATTATATTATAATTCTATTCTTATTAGCTCATACACACACACATATATATGGTACCTCAAATATACGTGCGTAACATATAATGATATTTTCTTTGTAACTTAACTCGTAGATTGCCATGTATAGTATAAGCTAAGCTGAGTAACGTATTTCATAATAGCCACACAATTTAATTATTATTGACAAATATCTAGATATAAATAATAATTATTATTCTAATTATTACAGTCATGTAGATACCCATCCTATGTATATATATATATATATATATATATATATATATATATATATAAAAATATGAAAAGTTTGATACCCATCCTATGTGTGTATATATATATATATATATATATATATATATATATATATATATATATATATAGTTATGAAAAGTAAGGTTAGGGTTAGGGTTACAAGTGAAATGTACTTAGAACGGTGAGTAACGGTATTTGCTGTTATTATTAACAATAATTTCTCTGTATTTTATAATTAATATTTCTATTTTTATTCTAAAAGGTTATTTGTAACAGGCTGTGTATGTTCTGTTCTGTTAGTTATCCATTTCTTCTATAGCGGTTCTTTACTCGATTCGATACCATTCTATTCTATCTAATTCGATTCTATCAAGAAGTAAATGTCAATTCTAATTGATTCTAGTTACAATTGTCGGTTCTTATTGATTGTATTCTATACTAATTGATTATAGATTCTATTAGAGCAAAGATGTCGAATTTTATATTTTCCAAAATTTATATACTATTTATATTAAGCCAGTATTCGAATGAATCTTGCTAAAGACATCTTGATTATACATATATGTGTATATATATATATATAGAGAGAGAGAGAGAGGAAGAGAGAGAGATTTCTACTGCGTTTTTTTTTCAAGTTTACCTAATATGATTATTAAAGATTTTTTTATTTTTCTTGATTATACATATATGTGTATATATATATATATATATATATATATATATAGAGAGAGAGAGAGAGAGAGAGAGAGAGGAAGAGAGAGAGATTTCTACTGCGTTTTTTTTTCAAGTTTACCTAATATGATTATTAAAGATTTTTTTATTTTAGCTCTAATCCATTAATTATAAAGTCAATTAAAAAATTATAAAAAAAATGATTATTATTGAGGACTTTGCTATAGTTAATTATTTATATATATATATATATATATATATATATATATATATATATATATATATAAGGTTATTATTTTTGCGTTTACTATTAATTTCATCATAAAAAAGAGCTGAACAGTTTTGTGATTTAACTTAACTGTTCATCTTTATTGAAATTAATTTCTAAGAGATAAATGAATGAATAAATAATATATATATATATATATATATATATATATATATATATATATATATATATATATATATATATATATATATATATATTCACATGACTTATGATAATTGCGTTTCTCAAAGACTTGAAAATGTTTTTCTCT